TAAGATGAAATTTAAATAATAAATTTATCTCCTCACTCGTAGCTTAAGATTACTCTTTCAGAAAGGTGTTTTCTTGAGTTCGAGTTTCACTATTACCTATTTATGAAATTTGTGCACGTATCAAAATCCTGATAAACCAATTGATGTTCATGGATTGGTAAATTCAATCCGTTGATGACTAGCAAATTATTTGCTCTTCATCTTACTTGGACCTTCTTAAAATGGTTTCGGATGCTTTTGTGCACCTCCATTGAAACACTCCAAAATGCCTCGAAACTAGCTTTATTATGAGCTTATGGCTTGCTTGGGAAATTCACGCATGTGAGGTCTACTTATTTATTGAGATTTTTCCAGCAATAGATCTGCTTTATAATTTCTTATTGCTCGGACTTTTGATGAAAAAAAAAAAAAAAGGGAACCTATCCTTGCTTTAATTCATCCCCCTCTAACAGTCTAAACTTTCAAATCCAACTGATCAACAAATACACTCATGCATACGCTGGTAGTGGCCATCCAAACCTCCCTAATAATACCCCCCCCCCCCCCCCCACCCCCTATTTTAACTAATTTTAAAGGGTTAAATTATAATTTTATATTTTCTAATAAAATAATTAACAATTAAAAAATATATATAACTATTTATCTTCTTCCCCAGCCACACCAACCCCCCCCCCCCCCCCCCCCCCCAAAACCCCCCCCCCCCCCCCCCCCCCCTTCTTCGCTTTCCATCATCAAACTCAAAAACTTATCCTCTCCCGAATACGTTCAAAAAAACCCAGCATTCCCATCTTTAATCAATCATGGATAGAAGCATTTACGTACTCCTTTCATATTCTTTCTTGCTGCCAATGCCATCACTTTCCCAGAAAAATGCCATTCTGCACGTTATCTCCTACAGTCCAATATTCCAGGGCTGCCTACAATTCCATCACTATCGCATCTTTCATGATCATTTCTGTAGGTAAAACAACTATCAAAGCTCTAAACCTCAGAGTCGTGTTACAAAAGGAAGAGAATTAGCATGGCCATGCCGGTAGAGGCAGTTCCGTGAAACACGTTGGTATTATTATTGAGAATAGAAAGATTTTATTCTATTACAACTTCACATTAAATTAATGTTGTTCCCAACCCCCTTTACAGACATCATATTTACTCAAGTAAATATTGATTCTCATCTCATACACCGATTGGCATGGATAACCAGTTCTTAAAAGCATTGAAAACACTGGTAGAATTATAATTTCGCATATAGTATAATACGAGTAAATGGAATACACAGAATAAAGATGATGCCTATTAGAATGCACAAGCATTCTTCACAATTAGTGCACTTCGTTGCCCCCTGGTTTCCTCTGGAAGAAAAGTGAACCTAGCAGAACAGCGATGCCTGTAATTGCAATGGTGTATAGGAGCAGCCTTGGTGAAAACTCGCGTTGTGGCCTTCTTCGAGCACCACCACGGTCTCTGTCAGGTTGCCTCGTGTTCCTTCAGAAGCACCCGTGCAACAAAGTTAAGACCAAAGGACTAGAAAACTAATTAGAATTTAAAATAGATAGAAACTAAGCAAAGCAAAACCAAGAATATAACAGCTGGTTAGGTAGGCTTGGGTTAGATGGGGTAAAAGTACAGCTACGAGCCCATAACAAGTTCTGTTTTAACCTAATTCGGAACAACAAAGTCATAAGCTGATTTAAAACTTCTGTAAAAGCTAGAGATATTTCAATGTTCCTCCGAGGAAAAGAAAAATGCTGTGTAGCTGACCCATGTTTATTGCAACTAAAGGCTATACATGCTATTATAACAAATAGAGTCATCAGTAACTTCCTATGAATACAAAATGCACATATAAACTGAGAACTCAATAATTCTTCTTACCTTGAGGATTCTGCAACATTATTGACAACAACATTGCATCTACTTTCATGTCCATTCCTTTCACGTAGTCTAATGTATTTGCGACACAAAGGACATAACTCTGTTCGGTTCCCACATACTTCCTGGAGTGATCAATGATATGAGTATTACATTACAAAAGCGATAACAAATTTCATCACCATTAAAAGTTCATAATTTCATCACCGTAAAAGTTTACTACCTGATGCTTGAATAAATCTATTGCAGGCAATGGAAACTCGCAGTATTCACAAGTCACAATCCTTTGTGGGCAATTTTCTCCTTTATGAACATCTAAAACATCACGTTCCATTGTCTCACTGCACAGGGTACACGCTACCTGACCAAGGCATTCAAGTCACCACACACAGAAATCAAATAATGATAGCCTGAAATGAGGAATAATGTAAATCCGACGGCAAGTTGTTAAATATCTGGATTGAAGTGGATTCGGCTGTAGCTATGTCTTTCATCTCTTTGAACAAGCAGGGGCCATGTAGAATCTAGTACATCATTGAGGAAATTATGCATATTTTAACTTCATTCTCGTGTCGAGTATCTCATATTTATAGAAAAGGACACGAGATTGCAGATTTTTTCTCCAATGTTGGATTCCAAATGCTACAAACTATGATGCTTGGACTCGGATACAGGTACGTATCTAAGTATCGGATCTTTTATTTTCTAAAATGTAGGATACGTGGACATGGTAAAAAAGGGTCCAAATTTCGGATAAGGGTACGTGGGTGCTTTTTTAAAATTTAATTTTTTAACTAACCCAAGATATTTTTTTGAATAGACCAAAATCAATTGTTTACAAAGAAGTAAATGACTATTGAGCCGTTGTTTGATTCTCATTATTTTCAAAATATATTTTTCTCTCTCTTCTTTTCGACCACACATTTTTTAATAAAATAATATTACATGTAAATCCAAATTTTTTTCTTATTTTTTAACCACACATTATCCATCAATTTACTATTCCAAAATGCATTCTTAAATTATAATGGTGCTCTAACAGGTTTTAAATAAGGGATTAAAAAGAATAAAATAGAATTTTGGGGTTCAATTTTCAATTATGGGAGATAACTACTAAATGTTATATAAAATAGAAAATGAGGGACTTGATTGCAATTTAGACTTAGTGGAGCACTAAGTAACACCATATGGAACCCATTTTCATTTTATACAAAAAAACCCTAAATCACCAATATAAAGAGGAAAATAAGGAAAAAAGAAGAAAAGAGAGAAAAAAGAAAGAAGAAGGAAAAACCTAGTGTCATCGCCTTTTCCCACCCTCTTGGCAGCGGTGCTAGATTTACAAAGAGCATAAATGGAAAAGAAGAAAAGGGAAAGAAAAAAAAGAAAGAAGAAGCTGAAACAGCCAAGTGTTCTGTTGAAATTTGGAAGATCTGACACATATCTCATATCCATATCGTGTCGATACGGGTACTCTGATCATTTCGAAGACTCTGAGCATCAAAGGCTACAACTCATGGGTTTAAAGTGACTAGATGATTAAGGTAACCTGGGCGGGTTGTTCCAAGGAAGATTGTTAGAGGTAAAACATCTTCCTAAGGTCATTGGTGTGCCGCAACACAGACCGAGGAAATCGATCCTCTTGTACATTAAATAAGCTACTATTGAGAACGAGGCTTAGTATTTTGTTGTTTCTATTGTTAAGTTTTCAATATAAACTTGTCTATGTGATCAGAAGTGGAACTTTCTTTTGTTTGCATTTTATGGTGTTAGTGGAAAGAAGAATGATGTCCTTTAAATATATGAAAGTTTTTCAAGGCTAAGCACGTTCCTGAGGTCATTGGTTTGCCTCCAAGGAGATTAAACCAATCAATCCTCTTGTACATCAAATATATATTATTTGGCAAGAACCACCAGATTTTTTTGTCAACAGAGTCCAATTAGTACCTATATACGACATTAGCGTGAAAACTCTTGTCATAAGACCCTCTAACAGTAGAGTGTCGATTCATCGGTTTAAGATAACAATTAGATTCAGATGTGTTAAACAACAATGCAGAAGTTATATGGATGAGTATTCAAGTTGCAATAAAGGCGGACTTTATTGCATAATACATCGGAGGATACGAGCTTGAGAAAAAAAGAGGCAGAAGATGTTTTATTTTGTTATAAAATGATGTTTTAAATAAAAAATGAGGCAATTTTCATGTACCTTGCACTACCCACATCCATAAGACCAATATCACAGAGCAAGCGTATCACCAAAATAGACAGGTTCCAAATGTCTTGAATAAAGAAGGAACCAAAAAGGGATACACAAAAAATGAACAAATTCTTGCATTTTATTTTTTCCATTTTATTTCATGACTGAGCCATTGAACCTATATAGTCATAGGTCAGCATGGTTGTTAATAGGGTGGTCTATGCCAAAGAATCAAACTTTTAGTTCATGTTCATTTTTCCCCTTTTATTTCATGACTGAAGCCATTGAACCTCTACACTCTTAACGTCAACATGGTTGTTAGACGGGGTGGTCTATGTCAAAGACTTTCCTTCTTTGAAGTTTTTCTTTACTAGTGAATTCATGCATAAACCAAGGAAATTACAGCAGTTCATTAGTAATGGAAGATAGAGTGAAAAACTTCATCTAGATGGAAGACAAAAATTAGAGATATGGTGATGGTAAAGAACAAAGGTGTAGTCACCGTATTGGAAGTTGTTACAGGGACTTTTGTACAGAATTAGATATATAAGTTGGTAGCCTGATCCTCTAAAGATGATATGAGAAAGGGTGATATATAGGACATTTAGCTAGGTGCTACTTAGCTCATACTTGTCTATAGAAATTTGATGCATTTGAACAAGAGGTATGCCTTTGATGTTGGTTATCTATGATGCACCAATACAAACACGTGTCCAACACGACACCAACACACGATTTCTAAAAAAAATTCTAACACAACACGTCATCAATACATTGATTAAATTCTTTAGAATTATTTATTTATATAGTATAACTTTAATTTTACACTTGTTACTAATTTTTCTTGTTGAAATTTTTTAAATATGAGTACCTAGTTATTATTTAGTAATAACTTTGAGTTAGAGTGCCTGATAAGTATCAGTATCTAATATATGGACACGCCACCCTAGTTGAAGTGTTCGTGCAAGACAGTTTGTTATAAACGTTCTAATCAATAAAATCTTATTTAGCATTAAAAATGCCTAAATCATATATCACACTTGGACGGGCTCTTCTTTTCCATCTCCCTGAATGTTCCAGGAGCTCTAATACCAATGCTGAGCCACTTTGAGGGCTTGAATTAGGAATGGAGTGGCAACTTAATCATATAGACAAAAAAAAAAGGTCCTTCAAGCATTTCCCTCCAGTTCAGAATGGTGCAAGTCCGTTAGTGTAATCACCAAAGAAATTGAGCTTCATTTGTTTACTTACTTTGTACAATAGTACAAGTCAATAAGCTGTGGGAGCAGAATAAATGGTTTAGGCCTTGGGGACATTAAAAGAAAATTGCAGGATGAAACAGCTAGGAAAAGTGATTGGACTAGTTGTAATGGCAGACCAAGTTGGCAACCTAAAATTAAATGTAATGAAGTAACTGAAAAGGTTCTGACTCCTTTTGGTTCAATTATGGATATTGACCTCGATACACTAAAGTAGAAGAATAGGATGCATGCAATTTTTAGTCAGTACAGGACAATATTTCATGGAGTCAAGTTTCGATTTTGCACAAATCCCAATAAACATGTGACATCATACCAGATCAGCCATAAACAAGTCTTTACAAATTCACAAGGGTAACTCCCAATGATCCACAAGTATAAATTTGCTTACAGTAATGCAAATTGAGCATCATTGCAATACAACCACACACACATACATACACACATGACATAAACTTTTCAATATTTTAACACCAAAATTTAGAAATGAGACATTAATAAAGGTAAAAAGTATAATATACTGACACAGAAGTAAAAACAAATTGGTCCTAAAAGGGATTGAATCTATGCATGAAACACAAGACAGATATAGCAAAATTTTCTAATACTCAAGTGGAAATTATTGCACTGAATTTCGCTGGATAACATAAACTCACATACCGGGGCATGAGTGCTTAGGAAGTGTTCCTCTGCAAATTTTTTGGGAACCATATCATCACAGACTTTACATTTTTCTAGATTCCGGAAGCAGTGAGCAAAATGCAGGTCCATATTTGAAGAAGGAATTGCCCTATCACTGGAAAGTAACAATTTCTATAAATTAACACTCTTCACCAGGTCGAAAGTTAAAAAAAAAAAAGTAGCAACGTGACAATCACAATGACACAGAAAAAGTGAAACAGTTAATAAGCCAGTTCATTGTCAAATATTAAACAACTAGAAATAACACAGTAAACATTTCAGCAAAAAGCTAGTTTATGTTTTAAAAAATAAAATTAGAAATTTTCCTATGAACACTGAAGTAATGGAAAATATAATGCATTGCACATAATTAACAGGCAATAAAATATTTCATTGTACATTCTATCCGTCCTAAGCAACCTCATTACTTTCATAAATAAGTTCTATAAATATGCTAAATGACCAATTAGCGCTACAAGGATCTTCCTCATAAATTAAACAAACAGGTGTCTGCAAGCAAGATCAGTACTTCCAAAACGGTTATAAGTGAACTGTGCTTAGAAAATACAGGTTGGTTTATATTTTTTGAGTGTCACTTATCAAAATAAGCCAATTAAGTAATAGAACACAAATGTTCTAAGCAAGTCAATACAAGCCTTCCATGAAATTAAGGATAAATAAATGAAACAAGGGTGGTTGCTCCAAGCTTGGCTTGGCTTAGTTCTTTTGCAACTCTACTTCTAAAAGAAAGAGTAAAATTCTTTGGAACTAAACATTAACAAGCAATTATATTCATTTCCAGTTGCCGCTATTTTTTTTTTTTTTTGGCATCATGATTTATGCTCTTGCGTTTACATTGGATATACAAGTCTGGGGAAATTCAGAGGATGCACACTTCTTAAAATACATTAGATTTATGTCCCCGAAACTTCGAGAAAACAATTAAAAAAAAAAAAAAGAAATTACCACATATCGTCCACATAAATATTTCATATTTATGATTCCATAGAACAGTCTGACGAGTTTTTCTTGCATGCATAAATAAGTGACTGAGTCTATGAACAAGATTAGTACTATTGGATGACGAGGCACATGAACCAAGCCTTTAATGGATTTATCAACTTGCCTTTCACTCATAAGGGTTGTGCTAGTGGTACATCACACCCTACATAAGGGTGTCCATAATGGACACCCTTATGTAGGGTGTGATGTACTACTAGCATTGTTCCACTAATAATCATCTATTTATTCAACGAGACAAGCACAAGGAAACAAATTAAAAAAAAATTCTTAATTCTTTTATAATGGACAGAACATGAACTGTACTTTTCCATTCCCACATGTCCATGAATACGACAATTGTGGAAATCTCAAAATTCGTTTTGAATTTATCTTCTTTTTACCCTAAAATATATAAAATAGATTGATCCTTCCCTTAATTCCAGTATCTTATCAAACTAATGTTTCTGAATTGATCTGACTCAACAAGTTTTTTCAAACAAAATTATGCACACAGACAGTTTATGCTACATGAATGATTAGATACACTACAGAAGGAACAATGACAACCCCCAAGTCAGCTTGTTCGATTCTCCATGGAGTGAAGCCACTCTGGACATTGAGCTTAATGTTAAATGACCTAAACCTGAGTATCAGATACCCCATAGCATCTCTAGATTCCAAAAACAAGAATTAATCATTCAAACAAGTGAATTCACTTATAAGCAAGTTGGAGTTTGGCGATCTTTTTTTTTCTACAGACAGAGGTTTCAGTATTCATTAGCATGACATTTTTTATTATTTAGCATAAAGCAGCAGCTACTAATCTGTTTTGAAATTTAATTACAACATTCTATAACCGTTTCTACCAGTTTAGAAAAATCTTCACAACTCATGATAATTAATTCTGAAGATCTACTTAGAGAGCACAGAATCTGGTGAATAACAGTATTAAATTATAGTACTTTATAACCATATTCTATGAGTGGCATCAAAGAATCGTACACAAAGTGTTTCAGTAATAACTTTTTCTTGTAATCAGTTTTGAAAATCACATGTCTGACAATCTTCAACTAAAGAATTGTGGCATACATTTTATAATAAAAGTATGCAAATTAGACGTATATACACGGTACAAACAGATTACTAATGCATAAGCAGTAAATTTTTTAGAAAGGTACAACCCTCCAATATACGACTTTCATTCTGAATTCTTCACCTGCACCCGTAGAGCCAATCAAATAATTTAACACTATAAAGATTATCCCAACAAAAAAAGAAAAAAGAAAAAAAGAAACCCCATTTAAATTAATCGTCCTAAAAAATAAAGAAAATCTCACCAGTGTTTGCAGATGCTGGTGGCTTGACGATCATCAGAAGCTAAAGCCATTTTCCTCCCACTTGAGAAGTTCCACAAGAAGCCCTGAATTATAAATTGAGATGAGAAACGCAAAATCAGAGTCAAATAAACGACAAATACGCTTCGAATTAGGTGATATTGAGATTAGAAAACAAATCGAATTCCCAATTTCGTCAAAAAGATAACAACCTTAGATTGTATGTTCAAGAATTTGCTGCTATTTCGATGCGATCGATTGGTGACGGCCTTAGGCTTGAGGAACGAGAATCTGAACAGAGGAGAGAGAGGGTCGACTTTGACAACGCTTGTCTTCGTTTAATTATTGAGTTCTCTTCTTGATCTCTGGTAGAAAGTCATACATTAACTCTCGAGAATAAATTAAAATGTTTATCAACCAATCTCCAACTCATTTTCAATTACACACGTTGAGCCATGCTTGGACTCCAATTTTTCAAAAGCTCAATGGACATTCTCTTTGCTTTTCAATTTTGTTTTTTGAGTTTTGAATTTATTTTAAATTTTGTATTTTAAATATTCATTTTCAGATTGTCGAAAATATATTCTTTTTGACATTTTCAAAAATTGTTTTGAAAACACTCAAAACGCGTTTTGAAAATTTTGATTTGATTATAACTGAAAACACCCAAAACGACAAATTCGTCGTTTTGTGTTTTCTTTGTAAATTTTTAACTCGATTTCAAAAACGAATTTTTCAAAATAGGAATGAAAACGCGTTTTCACTCTTTTGAAAAATCGAAAACAGAAAACGGCTTGAAAATAGTAAAGAGAAAAGACCCTCATTTTTTCAATTATACATTCTCTTGTAAACTAATTTTACACGTAAACAAAAAAACTTTCATTTTTTTAAATCACATTCTTAAAAAATCACTATTCCAAATTATATTTTTAACGGGGGCTAAAATATTTTGTACACAAATTCAAAACTTTTTCTTACATTTTATCTACACATTCTCAAAAAAAGCACTATTCAAAACTCAATTTTATCCAAATAATGATCGTCAAATAGGGGCTAATATTATATCATAAAACAACGTTGCATAATGTAAAACTTACATGGTCGAAGGGAAAAGATAATCTCACACAAATGAGAATCGTATCCAAATGAAAACGTTTGGATTTTCATTTGGATGAAATGAGTACATCAAGATGAGATGATCACATCGAAATGAGATCAGACAAGAACATTTGGATGAGACAAAAACACTCGGATGAGATAAGCTCACAACTCCGAGCCTAAGACAAATTAACCCATTCCAGAGACGAAACCAAGACAATGATAATGTGAAGAAATACTTACCTATACCTACCTGTAATATTATGGGTTCAACTACCCAGAGATAAATTTAGAGAGATGACAAATGATAGGTTGGTGTGACCAAGTGTGGCATCGAATTAAATCCAAGCTTTCCACCTTCCGAAGAATCCAAGTTTTCATTTCAAGTTTTTAAATCCAAGTTACAAATACTTGGTAGAAAACAGTAGAGATAAGGCATTTTATACGCTCAATATCTTTGTTTTATGTGCCTAGTGGATAACTTTTCATGATTTAGTTTAATACTCCATCCGTCCCAATTATATAGGCTCGTTTAGTTTTTCACACAGATTAAGAAATCTTATTTAGGCCCTGTTCGGGAGGGATTAAAAGCCAATTAAAATTGAAAATATGGCCGTTATTGGGTCCCACTCGTCTAATAAAAGTCAACAATAACGGCTATATTTTCAATTTTAATCCGATTTTAATCCCTCCCATACAAGGCCTTAATGACATTGGAAAATTAATATTTATCAAGATCTTTCCTAATTTACCCCTATTTAATTTTTGATGTGTAAAACTAAATTATTATTGTAATTAATAAAGAATTTGAATTTTCAAGAAGTTTGCATATTAAGTGGAAAAAATTTAATAAGGATATATTAGTAAAAGAACACAATAAAATATTCTATATTAGGAAACAAGCCTATATATTTTGGACAATAGAAAAAGGAAACCTAGCATATATAATTGGGACAGAGGGAGTAATTTTTTTATGATCCTATAAGTGAGATTGAGCTTATGCTTGGCCTCCGTTTTTTCAAAAACTCATTTTTCAAAACTAATTTTCAATCACACATTCTCCTATAAAATAATTTTATATGTAAATTCAAATTTTTTTCATCTTTTTAAACCACACATTTTTCTAAAAATCACTATTTCAAACCACATTTTTAACAAAAAATGAGGCTTAAAGTTGGGATGGGACGATATCTGTGATTAAATCTATGATGTAAGTAGATTTACATGAAAACAAAATTCTAACTACGTTAAGAAGGGGTCAGGTGAGATTGAGTTTGTTGTTCTACTCAATCAGTTTCATGAATCTTGATTAATTTTTCATGTTTTTTAATTGTTTCAATTCTATTGAGGTATATGTTTGGGTTATTGCTTTAATGAGCCACAAATTTGTTAGAAAATTGAGTTCCTAGGGTCCTACCATACAACTTCCCAGGTTTTGAGCAAAGTTATTAGAATAACGTTACTTTGCCAGAAAATATATGACATAATAATTTACATAATCTGTGTTGGTAAGATGTGATTTGATAAAAAAGTTGACTGTATTTCAAACTGTCCAATAATTTGTTTTCATGTGATATTATGTAAAAAATTATGTCAATCATTATGTCTATATAACATGACTCGAGTTATTAAAGTGAACTCTAGGAAGTGTCTTGATAAGAAATATTTATTATATCTTCTATGTGATTATGTTTTTAAATTTTAGGGATAATTGCAAGAAAAACTTCACATATTTGAAATATTAGCAAACTTTCCCCAAACTGTTGATTTGTTGCAGCCGTCACCCATAACATTTCCAATCTTGAATCTCTTGACACCACTACTATCGAATAATTAATCGCTTGATTGACACCACTACTATCGAATAATTAATCTAATTATTCCTAACTCCTACTTCAATAAAGCAAACATTGATATCAATATTTTGATTAAAGGTACTACTAACAATGGACAATAAAAGCAAGTAAATGACCATGTTTTCTTTGGATTGAAGTTAAAGTACTGCAAATCACAACTTCGCCTTAGTTATTACCTTTAATACTATCTCTCAATTTCAATTCTTAAATTTAATTTGCTCGATCGAATTTACTAATTAAATCAATTTACATCTCATGAGTTCAAATTAATCCTACCTAACCGAGTCAGCTCATTAAATCTCTATGTGAATCAGATGAGCTTAAGCCAAATGTACTAATTTTCCTAGGAATTCAATTAAAAACCGCAACAATAATGAAAGTGTATATCTACATTTTATATAATTGTCAGATTTTACTATGTGGTCTAAGTTTATAATTTACTTCTCGTTTCATTACTCATAAATCAATGAATTAATGATCAAGTTAATCAAGAATAGAAGTAAAATCAATACACGNCAAGAGAACTCAGGAGTGTAATAATAGCCTAAAAACAACAAAAAATAAAAATTAAAGCGAAAATAAAATATCAAATATCCAAGATATACACCGTTATTCCCAGGCAATGGCGCCAAAAACTTGTTACTTGAAAATCCTGCAAGCGTACGGGTTCGTTGTACAAGTAATAATCGTGATAAGTGAGTTATCGTCCAACAGGGAAAAATGCTCAATTTTAGTGTATTTGATATATTTAAATTCGTGATTGTAACAAAAGATTATTGATTTGTATCAAACTATGTTTTATAACTACGAAAGCAATAAAAACTGGTTTTCAATCAAATGTAGACGAACATATTGAATTTCCTACTCCACTAGTCGACTCTTAATTCCAATCCTCAACATGTATTAATTAATTATATTTATGCAATTGTGAAGATCGATAACTCCACTTTTATTTACTATTATTTTTCAAGATATAATAAAAATATGTTTACCACGAGGCAATCATATTCTTACTCCGAATTCATATGAAAAACATGTATAGAAGTTTAGGATACACAAACCACACATGTTATAAATATTATTCCTAATATTTATTGTCCGTGTGTTCTATAATCAATGTTCTACCTATCATGAGTTTTCCAATACTGCGATAAGAAACTTATTGCTCTAATGGTGCACAAGTATTAAAACAATGCAATTATGTATATTTGTGGAATCACAACACAAGAATTAAACTAAAAACACAAAGTCTTGAATTAAAAACTAAGAATCAAAGAGTTTTGTCATCCATCCAATAAAAAGAAATTTAGCCTAGCATATTAATGTAAAAATTACATAGAAAATAAAAGAAAGCCATCATCTGAATCATTAAAATATGAAGAAAATCTGAAAGTCTTCAATTAAAGCCTTTAAATCCAGATCCAAGCGATGAATTCTTCATTCTTCGATGTAAATTCACTCTATTTTCTCTCAAAATTTGGCTCCCTTCATTCTGGACGAAATTTTCAATTTATAAGATGTCAACCTGATCTTCAACTATCTCTAGTCATTTCTTTTTTTTTTTTTCCAATTGAGTCCTTGCACTTTCGAATCTTCATTCTTCGCTTCAAGCCAACTTTTGCTTATTTGCGTTTTAATCCTCAAATCCTATTTTTGCTTCAATTAAGCCATTTTCTTGCTCCCTTTTTCCAATTCCATCGTATTCATCGATATAAACTAAAACATGCAATAAACAACAAATTAAACCATATTCCAATCCAAATATAAACAAATATCCATGTTTTGAACTCCCAAACTTGAACATTTATTTGTCCTCAAACAAAACCGTGGCTTAACTCAACAATTGGTGAGATACCCAGCTGTGTCTCAGGATTGGACTTTTTGTGTTAATACAAAAATTAGCTTCATTATCACATATTTCAAATCAGTCTCTACATGTTCCATGCAAAACTCGACGTGTGTGTGTGTATTCATACCAACAAATCAGTCTCATGATTGATTCAGATTCCAACCCTTAATAGTATAATACTTCCTTACTTCACTCGAGAGATACACACCCCAAACTTATAATTTTCACTCTTTTTTACTAGTACAATTTAACATTTCGATGAACAAGGATTCTCCAATATTTGTTTGCTTCAACCTCAAAGAGCTAACTAAGCTAATAATCCTCTATCAAAAGTCTAATTCTCTAAAATTGGTTTTGGGGGCTTAGTCTTGGTATTTGGTACGTCTTCTACTTCGTGTACCCCTTTTTTGTGATGAATTATCTCCATTAAGCGACTAAGTGACCCTTTTAGCAAGTTTTCGACTGATGACTCCCAACTTATATGATCA